GATGCCTTCAACACCGCATAAGATTAGGCCTCAACCCACTTTGTGAAATAGTCTATCGTGACCAGAATGAACTCATGCCCATTGAACCCCTTTGGAGTGACAAAGCTGCATTGCCATGTCATTGGCCAAGAATTGATGGGCTTGGATGCTTTTCATCGCACAGTTTTGATTTATCACTCAGATATTTGGACATTTATTGATTCACTGATAACTTGCACTAGCTCATTCTTTTAGCACACAGCTTACACTGAACACATAGCCCACAACACACTGTCTGATTTGGTTTGCTCGGTTGAACCGCAGGTACTACTTTTCTCCCTGACTATGGTTGCAGCTTTCCCTAATCTCCAACAGGGTGACAGACTAGGTTGATTCGGTATCCAAAATTGAGGCGCATACATATGCTATCTCAATCTATGGGGCTGCCATATAGATTTCAAGCCGAGGATATACCCCTATGTATTTAAACCAGACTTTAGTCTCGGAAATCCCAAACCTTTGCGTTCTAGGCATGAGCCATTCGAACTCTAGTTTCCACCGTCTCAGTTGGTCTCCTAGGAACTCACCGCAAACACAGGCAGGTGGGTATACCAGACAACCGGAAGTCGTTCGGGCATGACAAACACCAAAGGAATTCCACCTTTAGAGGATTTAAGGTCTCCTAGACCAGAGGATTTAAGGTCCCCTAGACCAAAGGAATGCATAGAACAATGCTAAGAAGATGGGTGCACAAGACAGCGTGAACAATGCAATGCACTAACAAGTGCAGGTCAGATGTGCGATAAATGCAATGCACAAAATAGTGCGATGCGCAAGAAAGCGTGAGTGCACAATACAGTGCGACGCGCTAAACAGCGCGATGCGTTAGACAACGCGATGCACAAGACAGTACGATGGGCAAGAAAGCGCGATGCGTTAGACAACGCGAGTGCGCAAGATAGTGCGATGCGTTAGACAACGCGAGTGCACAAGACAGTGCAATGCGCAAAAAAGTGCGATGCGTTAGACAATGCGAGTGCACAAGACAGTGCGATGTGCTAAACAGCGCGATGCGTTAGACAACGCGAGTGCACAAGACAGTGCGATGCGCTAAATAGCGCGATGCGTTAGACAATGCGAGTGCACAAAATAGTGCGATGCGCAAGAAAGCGCGATGCGTTAGACAACGCGAGTGCACAAGACAGTGCGATGCGCAAGAAAGCGCCATGCGTTAGACAACGCGAGTGCACAAGACAGTGCAATGCGCTAAACAGCGCGATGCGTTAGACAACGTGAGTGCACAAGACAGTGCGATGCGCTAAATAGTGCGATGCGTTAGACAGCGCGAGTGCACAAGACAGTGCGATGCGCAAGAAAGCGCGATGCGTTAGACAACGCGAGTGCACAAGATAGTGCGATGCGCTAAACAACGCGATGCGTTAGACAACGCGAGTGCACAAGACAGTGCGATGCGCTAAATAGCGCAATGCGTTAGACAACGTGAGTGCACAAGACAGTGCGAGTGAAATACAATGCATAAAAAGGTGTGAGGAAGGTGCACAAAAGGAGTGCGATAATATGCATTTTCTATGCAAGTGAGGTGCACGTTCTATGCGAAAGATACGAGCATTCTCTATGCAAGTATAGGGGGGTGCATTTTCTATGCAAAAGATACAAGCATTTTCGATGCAACATGGGAACCATATCCTATGCACAAGACAAGAGCATATTCTATGCAATAGTGAAGGCATATTGAGGGAAACGAGCAACACTCAGCATGATGCGTCATGTACATTATGAGTATAGGGAATTTTGCCACAACCTATTGAAATGTACTACAGAGGGAAGCAACTCAACAAAACTCTGTTAAGCACAAAACAAAGTCGATAGCAAGAGCAGCCAATTACGTGGTTCAAAGCAACCCATATGTATGAACATGTAGGCATAAAGTACATGCATTAATCAGAGGGAATATGACAATCCCCAAGAGAGTTTCGAAATGGTCGGAGACAATTTTCGAAAGTTGAATCATATCAGAATCATCATGGGGGTAAACCCACCCTAATTCAGGTGAAAGTGCCCAACAGCTGGCTTTGGCAAACTGAGAGATAGGTTGGATCTAAACCCCTTGTTCAATTGATGGCCCGATCGAATGCACTGAAAGTTGCCCCTAGTGTCCAGTCATCGGGCACCGATTGGGTATGCCCCTTGTTCAATTGATGACCCGATCAAATGCAATGAAAATTGCCCCTAGTGTCCAGCCATTGGGCACCGTTTTAAACATTATGCAGGCATAGGAAATGGGGATCATCGGATCTGTTGTCAACCCATCAGACTCATGCTTCTCTTCTGACATATTAAGAACCCACTGATCATAAATGTGTTGCCCCTTGCGTGGGCACACTCAGCTCGTTTATGAATTCCACGCATGGAGTTGTTTCCGAGTTAGAACGAACATTTGGGTATGGAATTTTGACCATGCCATTC